GTTTAACAGTCTTGTTTATGGGGAGATTTATTCTCTCTAAAGTTTCAATGTTTTTCTTTATATTAGTTTTGATATAATACTATTTTGATTTTTAGTATAAGTTTTTGTTAGCTGATTTATCAACCATATGATTTGCAAATTGCAAGCTTCCGCATGACGCCCTAATCACCCTTTCGAACCCAACATTATGATCCCTTTTTTTATTGTTAGGTTTTTTGTTTGTCTATATGGTTTAGCATCTCAAAGGATGTGGTGCACCAGATGAAGCTGCTCCTCCCTTAGTCAGAGGTTTCGGGTTCGAGTCCTGCGTATGGAAAAATCCTTGATAGGAAGCGCTTTCCTACCCTACGCGACGCGAATTCGAAATAGTCGGGCTCCAATGCAGATACAGGACATGGAAAACGCAAAAAAAGCATCTCAAAGGAAAGCTGCAGAATTGTTTATTACTAGTGCAAAAAACTGACATAAATTTATAAATAGATTAATGGATGGTTGAAAAAGATTAGGGTCTTAATAAGTAATTTTCAACTTTATGACTTTGAAAAGATGGTGGGGTGTATTTATAAACTACAAAAAGAAGTTATGAGGAAACAACAAAAAAAATTTTAAAAATACCTAACTTGTCCATGATGTATTATATTATCACTCTTTTATGGATTAAATATTAAGAATACATCTTTATATAATATCAGCACAAAATGAACTTCCTTACGTTCAATGTTTACATCAAATTATGTATGATTAATTAATATTAATATATTCTCACCTTAATTTATCATGTAGGTTTTGAAAATGAGACAAAGTTGGATTGAAAATAATTGGAAAAAGAAAATGCTTCTAGCACTTAAGAGTTTTGAATTCACTCTCATTTTTACATATTTAATAACTTTTCACATATTTATTATGTTTCGTATCGAAAATACTGAAACAAATTGCATGCATCTCGAATCTCGACTGGGAAGGGATGGTGTAAGAGAGGAATATACATCAACAAATGTGTAATCAAACATCGAGGAAATAATTTAATATAGTCCTTCACAATTTGAATAGAAGAAAATGATCCTACAAAGATCGTCTTATAAACGATACACATGTGGAATTTTTAATCTTGATCATATGTCACAACAAATGAAGTAAACTAACAGTACATTTTTCCAGAGCTAATTTCACCTTGAGTTGCATATTTGTTCCCATTTACTCAGTAACAAGCACTTGCATATCATTGACAGGAGCTGGAAGCTGCAAATATAGATAATTTGTTGTTACAACTTACAAACATCAAGGGGTCGTTCGGTAGCTAGTTAGAATTATACATGATTAGTGATACATGGATGAATTATAACGTAATCTACGTGTTATTTCATGCAGAGATTAGTTATTCATGTATTACTTATTGCACCTTCTATCCTGCATAAAATAATCCATAGATTCCCTCATAACTTATACATGTATAAGATGTGCGGGTTTCTGAATTGCAAATCAAACACCGTATTAATGTTATGCATGATGAACTTAACTTCTAACTAGCTATCAAACGTGGTGTTACTTATACTTGCACGACTCATTTTCAAACCAGCTACCAAACAACCCCTAGTTCTTCTTCCTTGACTTTTTTTTCCCCTTGAAAAACTCATGCTTTAAAGCTAAGAAACAACATCTTAAACTCATAATTTTGCAACTATATATATAAACAACAAATTTCACTAGCTAAGAATCCATCATCATTTTAACTAACTCTTCAACCTCAGGAGAAGAGCGAAGAACACTCGTAGAATTTTCAAATGGATCAATCACAAAAAGGGTTCTTCAACTATGAAGGGGTTGGAGAAAGATGGTGGGAAAAGAGAGAGAATCGCGTCGATGAGGTGGTTCTTTATGGAGGATGTGAACAAGTTGGCTGATGATTTTATCATTTTACCCAACCTGTTGCCTAATATGCAGTATTCAACTCTCTTCTCAGTCAATTTTTCGCCAAATTCACCAATCAAGAGAGAAAACTAATCTGTCAGCAAATGAAATTCCAATACAAGATTCGGAACTCTTATATGTCCAAGGTTCAATATTGAAATAATTTCAGAGGTTTTCCTGACTTTGTCTGTCTCAACAAACAATACGAATACCTCAACTTTTTTAGAACATGTACGATTCAAATAGCAATGAATCGAAGCACTTCTTTTTACACAATTTCAGAAACTCAAGGACTAAATCGTATGGATTATGTAAAATACAGGATTTCCAATCCTAGCAGGAAACGGATACTCAGCTTAAAGTGAGTAAACAGAATTCCCAAAATCCTGTTAGCACAGACTAAATTTCCCTAGTAAATGATCAGACCTT